TTGTGTACTTAGCATCCCTTCATTTTCTTCTGGCACTTTGAACTCCTGTTGCTGTTTTTCAAAACTAGATCTTATTACGTAGATGTTTGAGAAACAACAATAAATGGAATCGGCCTTGATTTCAGTCTTTCTACTTACCTATACGGGCCCTCAACATATTCTCGGTGTCCTGACTGTGTCCATATCCACACACGGTTTGTTTTCACCTCTTGTGGGGTTTTTTTTGTTGTTGTTGTTGCTTTGGTTTGGATGGGGTTTTTTGGTGGGGAGAGGGCTGAGACAGGGTCTCAACTTTGTAGCCCTGGCTGGCCTGGAACTTGCAATGGAGACCAGGGTAGCCTCAAACTCACAGAAATCGGCCTACCTCTACCTCCCTGGTGCTAGAAGCAAAGATGAGCACCTATCAGGCCCAGCAGGGTTTCCATCCTTTACCGAGTGGCTTAAGTTTTTCACTCCAAGATTGCTAAGATTTAACAACACAATTTGAGTTGACTTATAATTAAAACTTAGGCCATTATGGAGCTCTCTATTGATTCTAATTATTCAGTATGAAATTTGCCAAGGTTTGCCTGCTTTCTCATAGTATTTGAGAGAAACCCATAAAAGTCAGTGGTATAAGCCAGATTCAGGCATGACCATGGCCAAGTCTAACTTAGATTCTCAAAAGTACTCCTCAAAAAGCAAGAATAAGTATGAAAGCAAAGACCAGCCAAATACATATGCACAGAGGGAAATGCAGTTAGCCAGTCACATGCAGAACACCAGGAGTGGGCAACAGAGACAGCAGCCTATAAACACCACGCCAGTGTCATGTGTACCTCAGCAAAGCTCACTCCACCTCCAAGGGGAGAGTTGGTCCAGAGCCCTGGGCTGCTGTGGCTGGGCCAAAGGGGTGTGAGCCAAGAGGTTGCTATGCGGAGTCCCCACCCAGGGAACAGAAGTTAATCATTCACAGGCCCCTGTGCCCGACGTAAGATGCTTGTCATTTCCCATGGCTTATGTGAATATTAATAAAAGAAAGAAAGAGAGAGAGAGAACAGAAGAGATAACAACACTGTGGTAAAACTAATCCTGAGGCCTGGCTATTGTCTAGGAAGCTGAGCACCACAGGTAGGCAAAAACCCACTCTGAATTCAGGGACCCCGCTGACGTTTCCTTCCTAAGAGATTGGACTTCAAGTCATGTAGAACTGTTCCCATTCCCCAGGGCTTCCGCTATATTTATACGCAGGATCCCATATTATTTTTCCTGGTGTTATGGCAACAAGAACTCCAGTGTTTACAGAGCTCTCAAGTTCTGACAGGCTAAGCTGGGCGCTTTGCACCCCTGGCTTGTATTAAAAATGGAGTCAGGGAGTAGGGAACTCGACTGTCTGAACAACCAGTACCTGAGTCAGGAGAGGTAGGAAGCCAAGAAACCCAGTAAGCAACAGGGCCGCTTTGCCAGAAGAATTCACCCACAGCATCCTTTTGGTTCAGGAACTCGCCAAGTGTACCCAGCCTAGAAAGTTACAGTGAGCCCCAAAGAATAAAATCAATTTCCAACCACAACTTCATACTCTATTTGCATATTTTAGTGTGCAGGTGTGCACATGTGTGCACGTTCATCTGTGTGTGTGGGGGGGTGTGCACGCATGTGAAAATCAAAGTCAGTCTCAAGAGTCCTTCATCAAAACACTATTGTTTGTTGAGATGGGGGATCTAGGGCTTTCCCAACAGGCTACGCTAGCTGGCCAGTGTGCCCTAGAAATCCCTCTGTGGGAAACTCTCCAGTGCCGAGGTTATAAGGATGACGGACCACCACACATGGCTTCAGCAAGTTCAGGTCCCCAGTCTTACACAGAAAGACTTCAACACCTGAGCTATCTCCCCAGGCCCCGGCACATACTTTAAAACTGTGTTGGAGATGGTATATTAAAGTATGTTATGGTGCCTCTTGAGCAGCAGAAAAGGAAATTAAAATGCAGGGAGGAAAAGGCCAGAGAAACCTCCCTGCACCCACCACACAGTACAGCACCCCAGCTACTCCACACCACCCAGCTACTCCACGCCACCCAGCTACTCCATGCTACCAGAAGCCAGCCGAGTACTCTGTCCTTCGAAGCATTCTCAAGTCCCTGCAACAATGTGAAGCTGGGAGCGGAGATGTCACAGACACACCTCACAGACGTGATTATTCTGAGTGCTTGCCACTTAGCCTGTGCAAATAGTTCCATGTGAGCAGACTCTGCAGTCCAGGCTCTTCTCTACAGAGAGGCTGGGTCCCAGATCCCAAACACCCACTTTAGGGATGTCTGGGTTCCAGCTGGGGCAGGATCAGCCTCTGGTGCCGTAAACTACCACATTTCAACTCCAGATCCGGCTGAGAAAGCTCAGGAGCAGAGCGCAGCCGGGAGGTCAGGGGCACATTTCTCTTTCCTTCCTCCATCCTACCTTCCTCCCTCCTTTCCTCCTCTTTCTTTCCTTCTTCCTTCCTTCCAAAATTCCCAACTTCTTTCCTTCCTTCCTTCCTTCCTTCCTTTCACTTTCTTCCCTCCTTCTTTTCTTCCCTCCTTCCTCCTTCCCTCCCTCTTCCTTCCTTGCTTCCCTCCCTGTTCCCTTTCCTTCCTCCTTCCTTCCTGTCTTCCCACCCTTCTGTCTTCCTTCCTACTCTAATTTCCTTCTCTTTCCTCCTTCCTTCCCCTTCCTTCCTTTCTTCCCACAGATGCTCACAAGGGCAATGTCACAGATTCCATAAGAAAGGCCTCACTGACTATACATGAAACTTACAAAAGTATCCGTATTCTTTTCTAATTTGAGGGTTTGTAGGCTTTATAAGAGTAAGGGACAAATGTGCTGCCTGTGCTCGGTAACGTTACAGCAACAACGGAGATTCATGAAGCAGGCTAGTGCCAGACAAGGAGCAGCGTCCATTTACAATCCTTCGGGTGACAGGGGCAGGTCTCGGGGTGACGCCGAGGAACTCAGGTTAACAGAGGAAGGTCTCGGGTGACAGAATTAAGTCTCAGAGTGATGGGGCCAGATCTCAGGGTAACAGGGACAGATCTCAGAGTGACAAGGTCAGGTCTCAGGGTGACAGGGACAGGTCTCAAGGTGACAGGGGAAGATCTCAGGGTGACAAGGTCAGGTCTCAGGGTGACAAGGGAGGAACTCAGAATGACAGGGGAAAGGAACAGGTGTCAGGCAATATGATCAGGTCTCAGGGTGACAGGGACAGGTCTCAAGGTGACATGGACAGGTCTCAGGATGACAGGGACAGGTCTCAGGGTGACAGGGACAGGTCTCAGGGTGACAGGGACAGGTCTCAGGGTGATAAGGTCAAGTCTCAGGGTGACAGAATCAGATCTCAGGGTAACAGAGACAGCTCTCAGGGTGACAGATCATGTCACGATGACAGGAGCATATCTCGGGTGACATTCAGGCCTTAGCTCTCTTACCCATGTCCCCAGAGCAACCACACCACTGTTTGCTCTCACTGCTGCTGCCAGATACTTTGCCAATTCTCTGTTGTCATGACAGAACTCTGTGACCAAAAGCAACACACTAACGGAAACGTTTGTTTCCGCTTAGGGCTCCAGGGCTCCAGGACCCCCGGGGTCCACCACAGCAAGCAGGCAGGGCAGAAGGGCGGGAATCAAGAGACCAGAGAGTTCTCAAGGGCACTTAGACCCCACCTGCAGTGACACACTTCCTCCAGCATGGCTGCACCTCCTAACCCTCCCCAAGGAGCCACCAAGCAGAAACCTGAGTGCTCAGATACTGGAGCCTCTGAAGAACCCCTCGCGTTCATGCCGCCACACTCTTCAAGAGCTGGCTTGGCTCTTCAGCAAAATGTCCCTGGCATCCTGACACACACCACTTCTCCAAGGCTTGCCTTCCCAACCGTCAGGGTTTAAAGGTTTTCCCTTGGAGCAGGGCTCCAGTGTGTATTTTCCTCTCTTTTGTGAGACTAGTCTCAGTTATTTAAAAGAAAAAGACACCAAGTTGGGAGGGGAGGGGAGGTGGACCTGGGAAGAGTAAGGAAGAAAAGAGGGTGGCAAATACGATCAAAATACATTTGACATATGTATGACATTCTTCTTAAAAATTAATAAAATTATTATATGTATTTGAATGAGATCAAGTCTAGCACAGATTAAGTTTGACGCCCCACTACTGACTAATTTCACCTGCTCACCTCCTGGCATATTAGCTCCCAACAGGATCAGGACCTTCTTCCACTTAATAAATATATTTGACCCAGGTACGGGCCTTGTTATCCACTCTGAACATCCGTGAGAGTGAACCGGCTGTCGTAAACATAAACGACCACCAATCAGTCCTCAGTTGTTCTGTCAGATCTAGACACTTGGCTGATGCCAATGTGGGCCACTCTGGAATCTTTCAAACGGTTGGGGTCTGGAAGAGCCTGTTCTTTCGTTTTGCTTGCTTGTTTCGTTTTGCTTGCTTGTTTTGGTTTGTTTTGTGTTCATTTTGGAGACAGGTATCATATAAGCCCAGCTGTCCTCTGAAGATCTGTGAAGTCCACAATGACCTTGAACTCCTGATCCTTTTGCCTCCCTCTTCCAAGCACCAGAATCATAGACTGGATCGTAGATGTGTGCCTGGCTTATGCAATCCTGGGGGTGGAACACAGGGTTTTGTGCACTATGTTTGGCACCTGAGCTGCATCCCCAACCCAAGCCAATATATATATATATTTAAGACAGACTCTCACTATGTCGCTCTGGCTGACCTGGAACTTGTTATGTAGACCGGGCTAGCCTGAAATCGGAGCTCCATCAGCCTCTGTCTCCCAAGTGATGGGGATCACAGATGCGAGCCACCACACCTGGCCAAGACAGTACTCCTTCTGCTTGTGATTTATTTATTAAGCAATCATCTGTAAAGCATCTAACACAGGATAAAAGAAGCCAGCGAGAAGAGTAAGCCAAATGGAAGTATCGTTTCACACCCAGGCCTTCCCTTGCTCCTATAAGAAAACTCCAGAACATGGTTAAATCTCAGTTTATTCCAGATAACAGCAAAGAAGCTGAACTTTCAAGCACCTCCCCAGTCCAGACCCCACCAGGAGCTGCAGGGTCTTCAAGCACCTGAATCTAAGACAAGAACAATGCTCACACCCTGTGGGAGGTGTCTGAGTGTGTCTGGGGTGCGGGCTGTTAGGAGCAGAAGACCTCATAGCCTTCGCCAGGGACACAAAGAACTGGAGAAAACTCCGTGGGCAGCCGAGCTAAGCACAGACAGCACACTTGAGTTCACACCTGCTCCCCTCTTCGCCATCCACCCGCGTCTCAGTATCGCCACTCCATTCTGTCATACCTTCTTCAAGACGGTGGCTGGCCACAAGTTTCAGGGGTAAAGTGTTCAATAGAAAGACTAATTCCGCCAATGCAGCAGGTGCTGCTGAGAGACAAAAATCTCACACATGCTCTTTCCTGCGCTCACCGTGAATTACCCCGTACACAGGGCCAGCGCATCTGCTGGTGCAGGGGCTTTACCTGGAGAGGAAAACCAAATAGTAAACATTTATCCTCGAGGGAGCAGTGACCCTGGTTATTATGTCCTTCCCAAACCACAGCCTTTTCTTTTCCCCATTCACAAGTCAAACCAGCTGGATGAGCAACGTGATGGTCTTGATTGCCTGGTTGACGGGTTTGAGACGAACCTAGGGCATGAGCGAAGGCACCCTTGTGTGTATCTACAGGAGGGCATTTTCAGAGACAACCAGACTATGATAGCCTAGTACACAGAACTGTGGAAGGTGGAGCCTGGCTGGAGGAAGGAGGTCGCTGGAGGGACATCCTTGGGGGCTATGTCCTGCTCAGGCCCGTCTTGCTCCTGCTCTGCCCCCTACTACCATGGGCACTTCTGACCCTACCTGTATTGTATCCATCTGTAACCATGAGCAAACTAAACCCCTCCTCCCCTTACGCTATTTCTGGCCCAGCGATGATGACGCTAGCACAATGACCAACAGCACAGTAGGCGATGATGGGCAAAGTGGTTAATAGATTCAGGGCTCCATGCTGCTTGTTCCTTGTAACCTCAGAATCAGTCCATTCAGGTATAGAGAGGGGTAGATGAAAGGATACACAAAGAACCTTAGCCATTGGAAAGATATAAGCATAGATTGGTAGCTGCTGAAATAACTATTAAGCCAGAATGTTGTCCACATTTTCAAATTGCTGTGCCCTCTGTTGCGTAAATGGCGGCTCTCTCTACTCTTTTCCTGTGTCTTCGCCATTTTCTCTCTGTGTTTTATCACCTGGTGCCCTTTTCTTCTCTAGCCCATCCCCATAAGAATGCAAGTTGCTTAGCAACCGATCCACACACAGGAGCATCTATGGAGGAAACAACCCCAGTTCCTAGGATGGCCCATGATCCAAGTTAGCATAGTGAGCCTGACCAGCCAGTCCTTCCTCAGAGCCTTCACGTTGCAGCTTATGGGCATCCATGTCCAAAACAAAAAAAAATATACAGAAGAGTAGCAAGGCCTGTTATTTCCTCGAAGAAATGTTTGCTTCCAGCTAGTGAACAGATTCTAGTACAAGCTAGTCTAAGGCTGAAATATTCTTTGTTCAAATATAATCGAGGAAATGTATAAATGATATAAACAAAAATAATTATTAGATGTTTTCAGGATTCTAAATAATAGGTATTATATAATAAAATTGAGTTTATGTTTTTTCTGGACATGTTAACCTTTCTCACACGAAGTCTGCAAACACGTACATGCATGTGTACATGCTCTCTATCCATGTTGCTGCTTGTCACACTTCCAGAGAAGAACAGGAACAGAGGATATGGATGTATCATGATCTGCTGGGAGGTTTGAAGATCGATAAAGCAGGAGTGAGGATTTTCTCTTCAGACCTACGAGGCACAGAGAACAAAACAGCTGAAGAAGTAATATGAACATTAAGCCCAAAGTGCAGAAAGCTACTGCGAAGTCAGGGAAGCACAGCTTGGGATGCCCTCCCCAGGCACATGATGGACCACGCTTTCAGCATGTGGAGAGGAAGCTGCCATATGCAGCACCAAGGCTAAGTTCCTCTCACGATGCCCTCTTAAAGTGAATGAATGCTTGTAGACTTGTATTTCCCTCTGAGAGGCGCGACCCTACCTGTAAGCAATCCTTGTGAAACTCATGGAGTCAAAGTGGGGCAGGGAAAAAGCAAGCAAGGAAGAAAGATGGGGGCGAGCTGGGAAGAGGCAGGAGTCAAGAGCAAGAGAGGGACAAGACAGGGTAACGGGGGTGGATATGATCAAATCACACCACATTTGTGTGCGAAAATGCCATCAGGAGTCCATTTTCATGGATGTTTCTTACCAGCACGTATCCTTACTCTTCTTATTTCTTTATTTTTTCCAGTGCTGGGGCTTGAGCCCTCAGGCAGGCTAACCACACACCTGTTCCTCTTTTTTTACTGATTGATTCAGTTTAAAATGAAGGACTAAATAAAGCCCAGACACCTCTCCATAAAAACATTTCCAAAACATGTTTTAAAAGATGCCCAGAAACGTGGGCCATCAAGAAGGAATCTCCAGGTCAAAAGAGATGGCATGCTCTGTTAGACGGAATAATAGTTTTATGTATTTATATTTTGCAATCATTTCAGTATCAGGAAATGCTGAAGTCTCCCTTGAATTCTGTAAGAAGTAGTGTGATCTCAGGCTAGACTCTGGCAACTTAACGGAGGGCATTAATTCTGAAGTAAAACTATGGAGAGGCTGGGGAGCTAGCACCATGGGCATGGGCTGTGCAAGAGGGAGGACCTGAATTCTGTTCCCTGACATCCATGTAAAAGTCAGATTTTACAGTGTGTCTGTAATCCCAGGACTGAGAGCACAGACCAGTCAACCCAGGAGCACAGTGGACATCTAATCTAGCAGAAATAGCAGGCTCCAAATTGGCAGAGAGACTCTGGCTCAAAAACTAAGGCGCAAAAGTAACTAAGGAAGACATCCTAGTGTCAACATCTGGCTCCCACGAGCATAGACATGCACGTGTGCACATATCTCACACACAGAGAGAGAGGGAGGGAGACTACCTCCCTATTACGTGCAAGTGGACTACTTCCCTAATACGTGCAAGGCCCTAGGTTGGAGGAAAGAGGGATTCTAGAATGCCACCCTATCGCCTTATCAGCTTTATTCACCATGATTGATCTCATTTGTGGCCCAATAGGCTTTGGGAGGAACTGGTTCATCATATAATCATAAAATTCTTTTGCTATTCTAGTATAGATATTCAGTGGTATATAGATAGATAGATAGATAGATAGATAGATAGATAGATAGATAGATAGATAGATATTTAACCAGGTGGAGTGGAAATATGCCCTCAAAGAGAAATTACATCACAGAGTTCTGTATACAGAGAATTAATTTAACTATATATATATATATATATATATATATATATATATATACACACACACACACACACATATGTTTATGAGCTCTGGGGAAAAACAAATCTTGTAACTAAGATACAATGAAGAGGAATCTAGAAGCCACTTTGCTATAAAATCCACTCCTTGCTGCAAACACCAATGGAGCCTTCTTTGCGGCTTGTGCTGTTCCATAGCCCTGCTCTGTCACAGACTGGGAGAGTTGCTGTGGGCTTTTGTATTTGCTTGTTGACTAATTCCTTTCCACCTCAATTCTAATTTTCCCTTTCAATCCAAATAAGAACATTACATCAATTCACTAAGAGTCAGATAGGGTGGGAAATTCCAAACCCAAGTCTCTTTCTGCAATTCCAACTTTCCTGTAACAGACATTCCTTGCACTCGTTAGCATCTTGCACTTTGGTTTTCTATGCAATGAGCCAGATTCTGACCTCATTTCTGTGGAGAACATGAAGGAGATGAAAGAAGAATCAAAACAAGGCCAGAGATCAGCAAGCTGGAAAATCAAAGTCGAAGAGGGTTATAGGAGGTAGAAGAGATACAGGAAATGCCAGGCACAGATAGAGCTATACTGGACAGCATGCAGCTGCCATGCACACATCCGTGTACTGTGCTTCAAGAAACTGTTAAGCAATCATGTGAGCCGTATCATCATCATCATCATTCCAGAACTTGAGCATTTGGTTCTCTTTGATATCATCTCTTGACTATAAATCTTCCAAGGAGTCATAAACTGCTCATAAAGACCTGGCCCCTCATACGTTGTCACTTGATGGTGCTGTGTTACAGTGGCCTTCCTAGGAGGCAAACACTCTACACAAGTACACTTGTAGAGAAAGCCAAGGCAGGCAGCCTGCCTAAGCCAGTAAGGATAAAAGTGGTTGCTGACAAGGGAATAAAGTTGACAGCTAAAGCTCTCTGAACCAAAAGGGAGAATGAATAGCCAAGACATTTGAATTGTTGACGGGAAGGATGCCTCAGATCCAGGCAAGGGGGTGGAGCAGGCATAAAACTAGAAATAGGAGATTAACCACTAAGCTCAGAATGAATCATAGAGGGAAAAGATGGATTATTAGGCTTGCAGGAGCCAGGCAGGAAGGGCCTTGTACAAAGCCACCTCAAATTCTCCTTGCAAACCCAAGACAATAGAAGCTTCCCTTGTTTGCAGAAAGCTCTTGCCGGCACAGCAAACCCTACACGTGAAGAAGTAAGAACAAATGAAAGAAAAGATTATTCAAATTGCATGAAGTATTAAACAGCAGAACCTAATCATTTCCATGATGCTTGATGCTGGGGAGGCTGTGGTAAAGCTGGTCCCTGCTTACGCTGGTGGCTATGAAGATCCTTTAAGAAGCTCTGATCACGGGGGCACTGGTGACGAGATAATAGAAGGGGAAGGAATGGAAGCGAAGCAAACATCCAATAACGGGAAACAACAAATCAATTTGTTCAATGAAATGCCAAGCTAGAGTGGAAATCCTGGCTGTTTAAGTGCAGGTGGGCACTGACAAACATCTCTGCTGCATAAAGCTCAATAAGTCGAGCTTCAGGTGCCCAATAGATGGATCGCCTGGGAGATGGCTCTTTGGGGCCAGAGAGATGGCTCTTTAGGGGCCAAGACAATGGCTCTTTAGGGATCAGGAAGATGATGGCTCTTTAGGGGCCAGAGAGTTGGTTCTTTAGGGGTCGGGGAGATGGCTCAGTGGTTAAGAGCACTTGCTACTCTCCAGGTAGATAGGGCTTCAGTTCACAGCGCCAATTTATAGGGTGACTCCCATGCTCCTCTAACTCCAAATCCAAGGAATTTGATACCTTCTTCTGGTCTCCATAGCTTGTGTGTACAAACACTTGTGAGTACACACACACACACACACACAGACACAGACACACACACACTACACACACAAATCAAAACAAAATAACTTTTCTTGGGATGTTGGAGATTTAGCTCAGGGGTAGAGCACTGACTAACAAGCACAAGGCCTTGAGTTCAGGCCTTGACTCTGGGGCAAAAAAAAAAGAAAAAGAAAAAGAAAAAAATACAAAATAAATCTATTTTAAATTTGAATTTTAGCCGCATTTTTAATAAAAATTCCAAGATAAACTAGGATTGAAAGGAGCAATGCTAAACCTGTGCATAAGTAAGGACTCCTCGGTACTGCCACCCCACCTACCCGGTGATCGAGGACAAGTGGGCATGACAGCACTTTATTTTTTAACTGCGGTGACAAAATACCTGAGAAAGGCAACTTAATGTGTGCTCATCACTCAGACCGTGCCGTGTGGCTTCTTTGTTCTTCTAGTTTGTGGACAGAAGGAATCAGGGGACAGAAAAGACACGGTGGAGTGATGCTGCTCAGAAATGCAGCCGGAGAAGCAAGAAACAGGCAGGATGAGAACACCCCAGGTACCTATCCCCTTCAAAGAAGCCTGGCCTCCATGAGTTTCCAGCATCTCCCAACAATGCTACCCACTTGTGAGTCTATTGATGGAGTAGCCATTGATTACAGGATGTTTGGCCTATAGTTCAGGCTTATTACTAGCTAGCTCTTACATTTAAATTAATGCATTTCTATTCATCTATGTATTGCCTTGTAGCTGTGGCATTGCCAGTCTGCTGACATCTTGCTTCTTGGGTAGCTGACTTGCATCTCCCTCACCCCACCCTTCTTCATCCCTGTACTCAGTTTGACTTTCCTGCCTAGCTACACTCTGTTTTGCTATAGGTCAAAGCAGCTTTCATTATCAACCAGTGAGGGCAACATATATCACAGGGTACCGAAGGGTTATCCCACAGCAATGAATGTGACCTCTGCCATTTATATGATGATTAATACAGTCACCACTGTCTTAAGTATTAGCTGGAAATGCACTGAACTCTAACACACCCCTTAGCATTAGCTCTGTCTCCAAGACAGCAAAACTAATACCTAAAGATAATAAGTTAACTTGCCTAAGATCAGGGAGCTAGATGTCAGCAAACCAGAAACTTAAATCCAGGAGTTACACTGGGTCATTACCTTCAGGCTGTGTGCCGCAATGGCTCAAGTAAGGGTAAGGGTTCCATTGTCTGAGTCATTCATAAGTGGGAATCAAATCACCTCTCGGATGAGCAATCTCCTCGTGCAGGCCAGGACCAATAGAAAGAAAGGAGACATTAGTTTCCCATCATATAATACTACTTATCACTTACTCTGAGCCAAATTCCCACTCAGTCTATGGCCACTAGCCCTTATCCATGGAAGATGCATCATATTCTTGACCTTGAGGACCTGCTGGAGACCTTGACACCAGCTGAGCTTGAGTAAGATGGGAAAGCAAATAATCTTCCTGACTACACTGCCCCGGCAGCTATTTAGAAGCAAAGCAACAAGCTCAAGCCCAGCGGATACTGCAATTTCTACCCATTGCTTCTCTAAGGATGTTGACCCAGCCTTGGTGAGAAGTAAGGGTTTCTCT